CGGCATGTTAATATTAAAAAAAGTTTGAAAGGTGATAACAGGTTGCTAGAGTTGTAGTTAATAGCATTTTCAATTACGTGCTAATCTTTATTAATTAATCGGTTAAAGAAACTTTTATCATTTTGTTTGGGTGTAAAGCATAATTCTTTTTTGCAATTTAAAGTAACTGTGTATGAAATAAAAATATTTCGGATACAGTTTTATGTTTGCACGGTATAATATAAATTATTTTATAAAAGAGAATGAAATAATGTAATCATCAATAATAAAAATACTTCAGGAGGAACAAAAGAAATTTAAAATTAAACTGTCAGATAAATTTGGACTAGAGTTAAAAATTATAAGAAAATTAAAACACTATAAGTACTAGCAAATATATTTTTTACATACCTTTGAAACGTAGTTTGTTTTTTATTGTTGTTATAGATTTCGAATCGGGATCATTACTTATTGTTTTACACATTACAGTCATTTTCAGAGTTGGCGATTGCGACGTTGAATTATTTTGCCCTGTATGAGGTAATAGTAGTAGTTAGTTTATATATGAGTTAGCAATTGTACAGTTTTGAGTTAATTAGTAAATATGTTCCCAAAAAATATAAAAAAAGAAAAGTATAAGAACATAACTTCTTTAAGTATTTTCTTAATATTGAACTATAAATTGTCATGTTATTAAACTGCTACAGATTTGTGATATTTCAAAAAAATACTTAAGCTTACTTAGTATCGTTTATAATTAACATATTAAGTTTTTTCTATTGTTTTTGTTTTATGAATAATTAACCATACAATTTTGTAAAAACTTCAACGGATTTCGTCTAAACAAAAATCGGATTGGCGATATACAGATGATGAGATTTTGAGCAGTATACGAGGGTGGATTGATAAGTTTCCGGCTTGACCAAGAGATGGCGCCACTCGGCCTACCTTGAGGTGGCGTTCTATAGTACTATCCTTAGATAGCTTGTAGCTATAGTTTCAGCCCGATCGCCATGTTAGTTTAGGTTTGAGAGCACACTGGACAAGACGCCTCTGGGTTTTTCTTAAAAATGAAAAAGCTGGAAAATCGTGCTGTCATCAAATACTTCTATTTGAAGGGATTAAAGCCGAAGGAAATCAAAGAAGAGATGGACTCAACACTGGGGACATCCTCCCCATCATATTTAACCATTAAGCAGTGGGTTTCCGAGTTTAAAAAGGGTCGTGTGAGCACCTCTGATGAGCCTCGCTCAGGACGCCCTGTTGAGGTCACAACTCCAGATATGATCGAAAAAATCCATCAAATAGTGCTGGAAGACCGCAGATTAAATGTGTGTGAGATAGCTGAGACCTGTAAGATGTCATATGAACGTGTGCAAAATATTTTGCACCAACATTTGCATATGGAAAAGCTCTGTCCAAGATGGGTGCCACGTTTGCTAACAGTCGACCAAAAATTGATTCAAAAAAACATTTCTACCGCCAATTTGGCGTTGTATAAGCGTAATCCAAGCAAATTTTTGCGTCGGTTCGTAACCATTGACGAAACCTGGGTCCACCACTACACTCCTGAAACCAAAGAACAGTCTAAATAGTGGATTGGACCAGGGGAACCAACTCCAAAGAAGGCAAAAACAATTTTTTCGGCGAACAAGGTTATGGCTACTGTTTTTTGGGATGCAAGAGGTATTATATACATTGATTACCTTGAAAAGGGTAAAACTATCACTGGTCAATACTACGTAGACTTATTGGAACGTTTGAGCCACGAGGTGAAAATTAAACGACCTCATCTGGCGAAGAAAAGAATCTTGTTTCATCACGATAACGCACCAGCACACAATTCAATCGTTGTGATGGCTAAAATCAACGATCTGAAGTTTGAATTGATGCCGCACCCTCCTAACCTCAAAAAATGGCTTGACGGTAAGAGATTTGCGGACAATAAAGAAGTAATCGAAGCTGTAAATGGGTATTTTGAGGAGCCTGACGAATCAGTTTATAGAGATGGCATTACTAGACTAGAACACCGCTATGAGAAATGTATCAGCCTTGGAGGAGATTATGTTGAGAAATAAAAAAAAATTCTTAAAAACGTTGTTTTTCTTGGTCAGGCCGGAAACTTATCAATACCCTTACGGGGTATTATAACTTATTAAAACTTACGGATACCCTCGTAAATATACATTGTCAAATTTTTTTGTTTGAACAGATTACTAAAAGTAATAAAGAAAATATCAATTTGATTCTTAAACCCCTAAGTTATTGTTACTTTAATATATACCCACCGGTCATAATCATATTTGAAAGACATTCTGAAGATTCTTGGGTTGGAGAATTCTGTAATTCTCGATTTATTAGCGGTTGAACTATAATACTTTCATAATTAGTCTTTTCATCTAATTGTTTCAACCTATAATACTTCAGCATCGAAGCTACATTATAATGAAAACAAAAAATACATGTACCATTAATGTAATGTGTTGATTATAGTAATACTTTTATTTAGACCAAAAAATAGCAATTTTAATTTTTTTCATTTTTCAATTTGTCTACAATTAATCTGTCGCAATATAAATAAAATAAATATTAAGCATTGCTCCCAGCATTCAAATTTGAACTAGTCAAACGAATAATGAAAGCAAAGAAATTGAAATATGCATGCGTCTTAGCATGATAGCGTCTGAGCCTTAGACCAGAAAATAGGCATCCCTAATACTAATCAGTGATGAGAATCCGATGACGCTACAAAAAATTTCATTTTCACGAAATCGTATCACATCTATATCGTTTATACAGCTATGACCGAGATGCTATGGGAATGCCGGCTGTAAATCTTGAACGTAGTTATATAAACAATATAGATACGATACAACTTCATGAAAATAAAATTTTTTTGTGGCGTAATCAGATTCTCATCACTGATAGCAATATAGTATGGTCTATCAGTTTATTTTCGATTGTTAAACTGTTGCGCGACACAGCTTTTATTTATATCTTAATACTTTCATAATAATTAATTTGTATTCAATTTCATTCTGGAAGCCGTTAGTTCTCGGGATCAGGCGCTATGAATTTATTCATTCACAAGTTTTTATAATATTCAAGTTCGATTTACATTTAGATGCTGAGAGCAATAATCTAATTTTAATTATTTCAAGAAATTAGTTGCAACCGAATCGACAAATTAAAATGAGAAAATTTTTAAAAAGTAACTACCTTTATTTTATGTATTAAATAAAGTCAATTATATATTAAATATTAATAATAAATGAAAAATATTTAAAAATGTATGCACATCAATTCGAACTACATATAAAATAAAAGAACGAAGTAATTTTTTATACTTTTATAAGAGTCTATACACGCAAAACCAGAGAAGTAGTTTGCTTTATGCTAAAAAATGGTAGCCTCAGATACACAACCAAGAATTTAGGGAGCTTTACCTAGATTTACTCTAGGTTTTACCAGATAGTACCAACAATTGATTTTTTAGGATAATTAGTCAAGTTCACTAGGGTGCTTTATTACATCGAAGCTCCCACTGTAGTTTTTTAATTAACAAATATTGTTAAAATTTTAGTACATATTTTATTACAGGCACCTTTTTCCGTGGTGTGAACTATCGGTTAGCAGTTTTTTAATTTTATTTAAAACAGATTTTACACACAAAAACATATTTCGACGATTAGCAGTTGACGTCTAAACTTATTTTTTTCTTTTAATGACGGTTTATTATTGATAAATAATCAAATGTCAATCAAAATATTGATTCTTCATTTAACGAGCAATTTAATGATATAATTATTCATCAAATTATCTTAGAAAAATCAATTATAGGCTTTAACTTATTAGTCCTTTTTACTGTACATTTTACATAAAGTATCATAAGTACAAGCAAACTCATCCTTGGTACAAGCATTTAATAAAAATTGTTCTAATAATATTTGTTATCTTAACAAAATCTAAACTTGAGTGAAAAATGGTCTATTGTGTGTATATAAATTAAGTAAATAATTAATGTCACTAAAGTTACAAGTAAAATATACTAAAAATGAGTTTATCCACTATTTTGAAAAAGAGTGTAATTATTTCAATATATAATAATTTTCAGTCAATAAAAATCATTAAAAATCAATAAGTAAAATTAACGATAAGAAATAGTTCATTGCTAAGTTATAAATAAATATTTATTGAAAGTCCATAATGTATTTACCTTTACCAATAAATTTACTGCATACTTCTGCTAGTGGACGTTTATATTTATTTAAGTAGTTATCTAATTTAATTTTTTCTTTTTTTGTGATTACGTTATTTGAAATCTTTAGTAGAATTTTCATTTTGAAGTTTGTAGCAATACTGTTTCCTTCGTACAAACAATAAGCAAAACTTTCAGGGCATAATTGAATACAAGCTGATATTAATTTATTCATATATATTTTCATCTTTTTGTGTTCTAGTGCTAATAATTGCAAGTTTTTATTTTGTTTAAGAGCTGAAAAACATATATTATATAGTGATATACAAAAACACAAAACTATTAAATTAAGTGCAAGTTATTTCTCTTATAAATGTTATTTTTAAATAAAACTGATCTCGTATAGTCAGTGATTTTATCAAGTTTTATATAAAAAGTGTTTACCTGATTAAGATCAATAATAGAGTAATTTTAAACAAATTAATATTTAATTTTGATAAAATTATTTTGAGACTTTAAATCAAGAATGATAAAATTCAAGATCTGATAAAAATTTTAATATATTTAAGCATTTAAAACATAAAACCATTTGTAAAGACTTATTAAAGCAATATTGTTTAAAAACATCTAAGTGTTATAAAATATTTAGTAAATGAATGATTTTTTTAGTTAAACCATCCAAATAATATAAATCTTTGTAAAAGTATTTTTTATTATTAAAGTTAAATTAATTATTATTATAAATAGAAAAATTAGTACTACATTAAAATATGGATTATGAATAATTTATCAAGAATTTTCTGTATAATAGCCATTAATATCTTTAAGACCTAACATATTTGTCTATAGCATAAGATGTAATTCCTGTATATTATAAATTTTTATACGAGTATGTTAAAAATAAAGATTATTACAAAATAAGGATTTTATTTTACATATTATAATATTACCTTGAACATCCTGAATAATTGATTCCTTATACTCTTTAACAAAAGAATATACTGATCTCACACTTGAATGATGTTCATTTTTGTAAACATTTGAGACAATGTTTAAAATATCTTTTTCGTTAGGGTCAAAGTTATTAAACTTAATCATCTTTTCTCTTTCTATGTATTTAATAAATTTATGATATATTTCATCATCATGTCTCAAACCTCGGTTAACTTGACCTTTGGCTTTTCTTTGAAAAGATGCATCTATGTTATGTGAATTTTTATTCTGGGCAATATTCTTAAATAGTATAAGATTATCAAGAAATTTATCTAACTCTCCTGGATCAATTTCAAGCTACAATTAAAGAAATTTGTTAATAATTATTATTTAGCTATTGTATTGATTGCATTGATTGTAAATTATATAACAGCGTTCACCTTATTTTGGAATTCAAGTAAAATTTTATTTTCACAAGTTTCACATTCACAATTAGTATTATTATCTCCAAAAAAGTTTGAACCATAATAGCATGTGATTTCATTCCCTTTTGAAATATCTTTTATTGTTTTTATATAAATATTTTTTCCATTTTGGAAATATTGACTATTAGCTAAGCAATCATGATTGATGAAGGATGCTGGACCGAATAAAAGCTTTGACTTTTTTTTTCTTTCACTGTACATAATGGAATGATCATTTTTAGCTAGCTTCAAATTTTCTTCATCAGTTTTACTTAACCATACAGTAAATCCAATTAATTCATTTATTACAGAATTTTTTTTAATATTCTGAGTTGCTACAACTTTAATTTGCTTGCTTGAAGTATTATACCGGGTAGTTTCCATGACTTTTATCGTAATAATAGGATTAATAAGTTTTAAATAGAATTCTAAATAAATTTTCAAAATGGTAACATCATTCAAAATGCTATAAAGGTTTTCATAAATAATAAGTTGAAAAATTTCTTCAATAGCCGTTATAGAATCATTTGAGGTTACATATTGAGATAATATATTTTCTAAATTTGTAGCTAACAAAGCTGGAGATTTAAATAAATAATTGTCATCTAAATCGGTCATTTTTACAGTTACTAAATTTAAAAAATGATCTATTACAAGACGTTTAGCAACGTCATCAATTTTTGAAAGCTCGGCGTAGCCGAGCTTATTTATATGTCCCAACGTAGATGCCATAATTAAGAAAATTTTTTAACCTTTTATCCTCAATGCAAAATATGTGAACGAAAGAGCATGCATTCTGGCGATCGGAGTCTCAGAATAATGTGAACCAAAGCTTCATCGACCTAGCACCTAAGATTGTTGTAAAAATAAACAAGAAAATATCTTATTGGAAAGGAATTTTAATGCTCCTTCCAAAAAAATCACCTAAAAATTCTTTTGTTCATTGAATGAAATAATATTCAATTAAAATGTGGTTACATTAAAATTGGTTAATATTCGACCTAAATAATTTTTTTTTATAATTAAAAACCGATAAATCGATTTTCGGTCCGGTAATATCAGATTTTGAATGCAAAAAATGCTTGAAAAAATAGGGTTGACATCTTCCAGAACCTTTTATTTTTTGTAGCAGATATTGAAGATAAATAAGAAAATCATACAAGTGTTTGATAAAATGTCTATATTTTTATTATGTTATTTTATTACTTGCTTACAACTTTCGTTAACAAACTTTACAAATAAAACTTTTATTTCAAATAATCGTAGAATTGTATCAACTACAATATTAAAAACAAAGATTACAACTTTTAATCGCAAGGTTTATAAATAAGATATACGGTTGATTATTAAGTATGTCGAAAAAATACTTTTGCTATCGCAAATTGCGTAACCAGCGCAACATGCGGCCCGCTGCCATCACAGAAAAGTTACTACTTAAAACGAGTTTTGAACTACTTTAATAACTAGATTTATTAACTACATTTTTGAATTTTTTATTTGAAAGTACTTAAAGTAATTTTTTGTGATTTTTTTATACTAAATGAATAAATATTTTCATTAGAATAAATACATAAAATAAATATTTTCATACATGAAGTACGAATAAAAACAAAATAAAACGTTATTTTGACTCTGTCTTCTTCTTTGTGTCATTTAATACTCCAGAAACTCTTTTTTATAAAGTTTATGGAACCAAGTACTAGCCTTATTTTCCAACTGCAATCAAGGAAATGCTAACTGAGCGTTCTTGCTTTCTTGTGCGGTAGCACATTGACCTTTTTTTAATTGCTTATTAAAAACGGAACTGAATCAAACCAACTTAACTGCAAATGTCTTTTCTAATTTTTTCTGTATTTGTTTTAAATATGTTAGAAAAACGGGTTCTGATGGCTGCTTCACCTTTTTCTTTCAGAGAGGGAAATTTTTTTATGGCCATTCTAATGTCAGAAGCACTTGCATATTTTCCATTTTTCAATTGCTTATTAAATGCTTTTATAAAATCCTGTTTTTGGTCTGCGGTCCAGAAACCATACTTTCTTTTACCTGAAACAGAGAATTTATTTTGTAAAAAATGCAGGTTATTCTAGTTTTATTTTTAATGTTACTAGAAATTTTTAAATTGTATTATCAACCAAAGTATTGTTGATTTCTGTAGATATTATATTTAGAAATATTGTTATATTAATTTTTCTAAGAATTCTTATTGTCAATTTAAGAAATAAGTTTAATTTGTTATTGAAATGTTAGGTAGTTTGAATAAAATAAAGCTTACGATATAAAAAGGGTTCAATTGAATCTAACGAGTAGAAAAATATTCTACGAGAAAAAATGTAAATTACGTCTAGTAAAATTAGAATATTTGAGAATGAATAACTAATAAATTTCCTTCTAATATCCTTACTTAAAAATAAACTATTAGTAATAAAATAAATTTTTAAGATAGATTTTATTAAGACTGATTTTTTTACCTTTACTGGTTGTCTTTTTCTTACTCTTGCTTTTTAAATTTGACTCGCTTTGTAGACTAGACGTTTCATCACTTAAACTAGATCCTTCCATATCTGTGCTCTTAATATTCTGAATAGAATTGAGGTATTTTCTCGAATTTACATTTTCTTTAGTTTTCCTTGATTGGTATTCGATGTTGTCAAGTCCATCTATATTTACTATTTTATTGTTCATCCCTGTTGGAAGAATAGAAAATTTTGAGTCTTTCCAAAGAGTTATACATCGAATTTTATTTTGTTACTTTATTCCCAATATGCTTTATTTATAAATATATAATGCTTTAAATAAAAGTTGCTCGATCTTGAAAAAACATATCATCATCTCTTGCCTTTGACCTTGGATTTCATTATCAAGGTCATTTGAAGGTCAACTTTCAATTTTTTGACGGTGGGGTGATTTAGGATATTTTTCCTTGAGTAGATTAAAATGAGACAGCGTGTATGTGAATATTGCTTGCTATACAAATTTTTTAAAAATATATTCCTATTAAAAAAATCTAACGGAATATCCAGCCTGGATCTTCATATGGATATCTAGCTGCATATCTATGTGGAAATGCAGGCTAGATTTCCAGTTGCATTTTTTCAATAGAGACGTCAAGTAGCCATGGTTTTCCTGGTATATTAAATTTGAATTTGTTTAAAGTAAAAAAAATGTTTTATTAAATGATGAAATTTGTAATATTGGACAAAAGGGAAATAGTGAGAGCTGGAAATTCACTTAATTTTTAATATATTCAGCAACGTTTCGTCAGCACATTTGCTGACCTCTTCAGGCTGGTTTCTCTCATAGTCAATTATAATAGGCTAAAACGAATAGCTCGTAAGTAAGTAAGTTACTACGAATAGTAAAGTTTATTGTAAAGTGACTGTCTACGAACTATTCGTTTTAGCCTATAATAATTGACTAGGAGATAAATCAGCCTGAAGAGGTCAGCAAATGTGCTGACGAAACGTTGCTGAATACATTGAAAATTAAGTGAATTTCCAGCTCTCACCATTTCCCTATTGTCCAATATTATGAATTTCATCATTTAAGAAAACTATAAGAGAATCAAGACAGTATGTTAAATAAAAAAAATGTTTACCTTTATTTGATTGAGGTCTTCTGTTCATTTCATCTTTATTTACAATATCTTCATCTTCAGATGAGGACTCCAATTGTAAAATTCGTTTCCTTTTGATAGGATTTGAAGGATTCTTAGGCTTTTCATTATGAATGCTTATTTTAGCTCTTTCTCTGCTGACAAGAATATTGTCATAATAATTATCATTAATGTCGTTATTTTTATAATACTCGTCGCTGGCATTACTTAATGCTATAAAAAAGTAATAAAATAAATTAAAAAATATCAGCGAAATTAGTCGATTACATTAAAGTGTAATAATTCATGCAATTGCCTAATCTAAAAATAATATTACTGACTAATCATTGGCTTCGACAAAGTACACATAAATGTTGCAATGGCACATTATGATACAAAACTTCAATAATATTAAATATCCTGCACGTAAACTTAATGAACAATAATCATAGCAAAAGAGAGAAATTGCAAAACTGGTTATAAGCATTACATGTGTGTATTCCACGCTACACAGCAATATAGTACGTAAGACGTATAATATAAGATGAAGAATAAAATAGTTCCAATTACAAAAGTGAATAATTAGTATAAGGTCGCGGTAGCGGACTACAGTGAATCAAAATGAAAAAAATTCTTATGACACAGAACCCATAACCCTTGTTGTGCCGCGCTTGTTGCGAGGCTTTTTTCCCCACCTATATCTGTTTTTTTATGCCATTTATTTTTCTGTGAATAAAATAATAGCATTACCATTTAAATAATTCAGTTATTTACAGATCTAATGATTTCTTTCAGTCCCCTTAAATCTATTTAACTCACTGATCAACTCATTTTAATGAGAATGAATTTCACTGCTAAACTATGAAGGAAAAAACAACCCTTAAACCCATACCTCCAACACGCATAAGTCTCAAACTCATTAAAGCTCAAAAGTAATCAATTCTAAATCCATACAATACTAATCGATTAACTCCAGACCTAAAACCTCAAATCCAAACAATACAAACTAATAATTCCAAATCCCAATCTATGAATCCCTAACATAGAAAAGCCGAATTCAATCCATTAACTCTGAACCCATGCATCAAAAACAAACTGCAAACTAATAAATCCCAAACTCATAACCTTTAAGTTTTAATAGAACAGAAGTACAAATAGGCAGATTGATGGACACATTTATAAATAGACATACATGACAAACATACGTAAGCAGATACATATATATTTACTCAGCAACACAAATAATTAGTGAGGTATTATAAAATTGGAGATTGATTGATTTGCTTTTCATTAGTTTGTGGTGTATGAGTTTAGAATTTAGGGAATTTGGAAAATATAAAGAGAAAAGTATATTTTTTTTGTTATGAAATAATCATTAGGTTGGAAATTTACCTTTATTCACTTGTAGTTTACTTCGCTCTTCTAAAATAGATGTTATTTTTACTCTGCGGTGAACAGTCGATTGACGATAAGTGCCTTTATGTACCTTATCAGTATGAGCCAGATGACTAGTTATTAATGCTAAATCTTCTGATTTATTACTATTTGCAAAATCAGTCGCAATTGTTTTTCGAACATTTGTTGCTAATATTATATCGGGGTTCCTCAATTTTTTATACTCCTTATTGCAAAGTTTGACTAATTTTTTGTTGCTTTGGTAAGCTTTCATATACTTCATGCGCACATTATCTGGACCATTTTTCATCGCAAACAAATAACGATTCTGCTTATTGATTCCCGCTTTTTTTCTTAATTTCGTCAGTACATTTAAAGCATTAACATCTTCAGTAGTTAAGTAAATTGTGCAGTCGATACCATCGATTTTTTTTCCTTGGCCAATAATTACGGAATATTTAGAAGCTTGTAATTTTTCGTTCGGATTAAGCATTTGAAAGTAATCATCATCTTTATCGACATCTAAACGATGCGTGAAATTCCATAATCTTGTACGCTCTGTTTCTCCAGGACGGCGTCCATTGAATATCATTGTTAATACCATTTGAAATTCCATCAATTCGTTGTATATATTAAGGCTAAAGCCCTTTTCTTGCAATAATTTTAATCTTTCATCTCGACCATTTGTCAGAAACTCAATATACGTGGCACTGTCTGCTTTTGTAATTAAATTTGTCTTGAGAGACATTTGTCTTCGCTGATCATTTTGTACTTTAGTAGCTTTTGATCCTAAAACTGGTAGGTATTGTTCTTTGAAGAGATCAAAGAAATCTTCTAAATCAGTTTTAGCCTGTCGCCGTAACTCGCTATTAGCTATATTTTCACTATAATATCCTCTCAATATAATATGAAGCCGGTTCCATAAAACCCGTATAGTATGCGCATTATAAGCATTGCCCAAAGTTTTTCTTTCAGTATCATATTTGCATATAACTCTTGCAGCTCCAAGAAAAATAGGAAAATAATTAGGATGTATAGAAGATTGAAGGTCTTTGATAGCACCATCAAGATCTTTCATGGCCAATAACACTTTTGCTATTAATCTCATATGCCCTCTAATAAGTTCCGATTGCTCAATAGGATCGTACTGTTCAACATATCGATTTCCATATCGAATTATGAGATGATCAAAGCGACAAGCTACACCAATAACATCGTCTCTTAGAGACGGTAAAACGTACCTTATAAGATCGTCTGATGCATTAGGATGGTACAAGTTCATTTCGCGTTGTGCTGCCGCTAACAAAGTTCTTGTATCCTCACATTTCATGTCGCCATGTTGAGTAGTAAAATGGCGTGCATAAGTATTTTTAGAATAATACCCCCTGCATGCGAAACAAATTACTCTTCTCTTAACATTTAAGTAATTTTTACTTATTAATAGGTTACTATCTTTACTATGAGTTATAGCTTTCTTCTTATTATTATCATTTTTATGATTGATTTCAGTGCCTATAATTGATTGATCGTCTATTTTAGCTTTTTGTTTTTTATTCTTTAAAAATTCTACCTTACAACCAATATTTTTAGCTAATCTCCTTTTAACAATCCATCTCTTTTCAGAGTTCCTTTCTTCATCATTGTTAAAACGTTCATTTCCAATATTAGTCAAAAGATTGAATAAACTTCTTCTGAGTGATGAATTTTTTGGTAGTCCTTTAATTTTTTTAACAGTTTTTTTTTCCCCGTGCATGCGTAATAAATGTCTATTTAGTCTCCGAAACGGTTTATCACAATAACAGCAGTAATTATCTTTGTAGTAATATTTACCACCATCTGAAGAAGATGGAATAATAGGCTGAGCTTTCCGAAAAGCTGCACTCGATTTCGGAGGTGTTTTATCATACGAATGATTTCCATAAGACGGTCTTTGTTCAATTTGCGCTTCATCATCTGTATCATCCTCACGAACTTCATCATTTTCATTATCTTCATCATGTTCATCAATTTTCTCGTCTTGATCTTCATCCTCGTCATCAAATTCATCTTCATTATCTTCGTCTTCATAATCTTCATCTATACTATCATCACTATTATCTTCATCTTCATAATCTTCATCTTGACTATCATTATTATCTTCATCCTCATACCTGTCTATCGTATTAGTATCTCCATTTATAAAACTTTCATGTGCTTTAAAATTGTTATCCAAATTATTAACATTTGGAGAAATTTGTTTTTCTTTATTGTTTTTGTTGATGTTTTTCTGTGATTTACCTAAAATGAGCAGGATATTTTGTATATATGAAATTTTAATACTATGTAGATAATAAAATTATAATAAACACTAATTTCAAATTTGGAATATGATCATTCGAGTGCAATATCATTGAATATTGATTTTTTCGCAAATTTTTTAACCCATTAACGACCCTAAACCGTCAATTTTACATCATGATTTAGATGCAAAATTTCATGCATGTAATCGAGTCATAAATGGGTCTCATACATGATTTCTTATGTTTTTTGTCTGCAGAATCCGAATATGTGGTCTAAATTGAAAAATTTTGCCTTTAGAAGAAATATCCCTGTTTCTTGCAAAAAAATAGCAAAAAATCAGTCATTCTAAAAGTTTACGATATTTTTTCAGACATAAAACGCGACGATATGTGAAGTTGCTTTCAACAATCGGTGCACAAAATTGCTGAAGTTTAATGGTCAATTTTTATAAGTACGATTTTTTTTACAAAATGGCAGCTACAGGGCCAAAACCGCATAAACGTCACCGTAAATATTTATCATGTTTTTTCTCGAAAACTATTGACTTTAGTAAAAATTTTCAACAAGTTAAAATGTCTTAAAATTAATGAAAGAATACTAGAAAATTTTTCCAAAGTGATTTGAGACAAATTTTTTAAATTTCAATTTTTCTGATTTATGAAAAAAAAATTTGTTTCCAAAAATTCTGAAAAAAATTTCCACATATTCGGATTCTGCAGACAAAAATACATAAGAAATCATGTGTAAGACCCATTTATGACTCGATTACACCCTCGCGAAGACAGCCCGACAAACATATAATGTAAAAAAAGAAAATCATCATATCTTATTTATTTTTAATTGTACATGATAAAAAACTAGTTATTTTTAATTGTACCATTTTAATTTTGCCAAAAATTAGCAACAAAGGGTATTGAATATTTGCCTTCAATATATTGCCTTTGGAAGGAAAATATTTAAAAAATGAAATGGCAGAAAAATTGTACCTTCTGTAAATTAAATTGTACCATCCGTAAAATAGCATAAATTTACTTAGAAAATAAATAATATGAAAACAACCAATTGACTGCATGCGCACAGTGTACTTCCGGATACGTTACTCATAATAAATGTCAATTGGTTGTTTTCATATTATTTATTTTCTAAGTAAATTTATGCTATTTTACGGATGGTACAATTTAATTTACAGAAGGTACAATTTTTCTGCCATTTCATTTTTTAAATATTTTCCTTCCAAAGGCAATATATTGAAGGCAAATATTCAATACCCTTTGTTGCTAATTTTTGGCAAAATTAAAATGGTACAATTAAAAATAACTAGTTTTCTATCATGTACAATTAAAAATAAATAAGATATGATGATTTTTTCTTTTTTTACATTACATGTTTGTCGGGCTGTCTTCGCAAGGGTCTCGATTACATGCATAAAATTTTGTATCGAAATCATGATATAAAATTGACGGTTTTGGTCGTTAATGGGTTAATAAGATTTTGCTTGACAAGTCAGAAAAAGGAATTTGTTGTAAAAGGAGAAAAACTGCATGATTAGATGAGTTTCTTATTTATCTTTTATATTATATTTTATTATTATAAATTAAATACTTTGTGTTTTATTATTTTGCAGGTGGATGAATATATCTAATAATAATATAATATTAAAAATATAAAGTGATGATAGATTTTTCAAAAAAATTAATATTCTGTGGACTGTGTTTCTTGTGAATGAATGATCAATGTTTTGATAATTTTATTAATAAATGAAAATAAGTGTTTGTATGAAGCATAATAAGTTTAATGTTATACGGCTTATAAAATTGTAAGATTTTAATTTTCACCTTAATTCAATTCATCTGATTTTAATGCTTTTAAAGTTATATATTGTTTATAAACATTTTTTTTATGCATTTGTAATGTAGGTAAGTAACCTGTGCATATAAAAAATATATAAAATAGGTCTTTAGTCGATAGAGTTAGGAATACTAGAAATAATAAAATTAAATAAAATAATTCTCATAATCTTGAAGTTAATCGTTATCTATACTTTTTCAGATTTTATTTTGTTTTTTGAAGTACATAAAAAAATGCTTACATAAAATTTTGTGATTATGATATAAAAAATTATAAATTATTAATTATAAAAAAAGATTTTATGTAGTTCAATTTTTATTAGCATATTAATTAAGGTGACTGTGAATTCGTATTAAATAATTGTGGTGTTTTTAATTCATGAATTTTTTTGTATTAAATCATAAAAATATAATTATGTGGTGTTTGGTAAACTATATATGCTTAGATTTTATGTAAATTTAAAATTGGATCTTGGTACAAGAAAATTTATTGTTATAGAATTTTTATCTCAATGTTTTTCATCTATACGTATACTTGTTTATTTGAAGATATGTGGATACTACTTTATTTGTAAGTAGTAGGAATTTTGCATTACTGTAATCAAATATAGTTTTACAAAAGGCAAAATAGAAATTATATTGAATTATGAAGACATACTCGTTTGTGTTTCTTATTGACCAGAGCAAACAAATATTGAATAACATTAGAAAAAACAGCATATTTAATCTCCATAACTGCCCATTTAGCTTTTTTATACAGCAAACATAGAGTATACGTGTATAATTATATGACAATGGTGGTAATTCCTTGAATTGAGAAGAATCAACAAATACTACATGTTTTAAGCGTCTAAACTAAATGAACAGTCATTAAAGAAAAGGAATGAGATGAGATATAATATTTTATATGAATAAACAGATATCATTTTTATCCAAATATAAATTCAATGTACTACTAAAAGGAAAAAATTGATGAGGCAAATAAATCTACTGAAAAACAAACTTTCATATGGGTGTATTTGTTAAAAGACATTAGAGAATAGCTTGGATTTAGAAAATGATTAATAATATTGAAAAACATGGCAAGAAAAATATTTTTAGATAAATCTAATAAGATATTTTTAAAATCATTATTACACGAACAGATAAGAAAAATTGTCAGGAATATCAATTCACTCAATAGAGAGGAAAAATACGAGACCTTCTAATAAATTTAATAAACCTCACTATTACTCTCAGTAGCCAACACATAAAAATATATAAAAAAATGAAATTTACAAGAATATAATTAAATATTGAAATAATCATTATAATTATTCAAACATAGGATTTAAGATAATTATTTATTTTATTGTCACCTGTCATACTAATATGTACCGAGACCGTGATTTACGAAATTTTCAAAATCTGCTAAAAAATTGCTCTCAGTACAGATTTTATGAGCCCCATTATTTGAACCCTCCGTTACCCAGCCTGCATAATTAATGGAAAAAAAATTTAGATATGTAAATGCATAGTTTTTCATTTGCACAATTCATCTGCATTATTTGTTTTATTTGCCCCCTTTCAGTTTTTTATAAAAATTAATAATTATATCTTGTATCTCTGTAAACATCAAGCAACAATATCTTTGTAATTAAGCAGTACTTTTTTAATCCTGAAAATCCAGAAAATTGGAGCTAATTTCATTAATCTAGTAGTTTGTAATGACAATTAATAAATTTTTCGTATAAAAAATATTAAAAAACTAAAGGTTTATGCGATTTGCGCATTGCGCATGCGCAATTAAATCAAGGGTATCGTTTCAGATTTGAATACGCCACTATCATTATCTATAATAAAAAGCAAATAATCATAAAATGTTTATTTATCTTTATTATATGTAAACGATTTTTAACTATTTCCTCCACTACAATGAAGGTAATTTTATTTGATTTGAAAATTATTTCAGAAGAGTTTCATTGGACAGTGACTTATGAGGTTAATTAATGTTTTAATTTATAGAATCAGAATAATGATAATTTAATAGCTACATACTTATGATTGGTTTCTCTGATAAAAACTAGGATCTGTGATGTGGACACCCGAGTATGGATGAAAATTTTTAGAAAATATTCGTCAATTTGTGCAGAAGCTGCGCGTTCAGAACCCGCGATCAAATAATTTGTGCAACTTTTAATTACGCCAGTATTAATTAATTAAAGTCGGGTGCTGGCTAAACTTCGATTGCGATTTTCTCGTGGAAATACTGAAAATTTCCGAATTCTGACGACTCCATTGAGTTGCGCGTAATTTGTGCATCAAGAATATGTAGTCCTAATTGAGAAAAAATCAAAGGGTGCGGAAGGAACGATAATAATTAGATTTATAATAACTTTGGTTTGCCGCGCATGCGCAAACGCTCACGGCGCGCGGCGCGGCGCCTCCGACCTACGAACGCGCGGAAGAACGGTAGCATGGTGTATTACAGTGCCATAGCAACACGAAAAAGAATATTTATAGTCCACACAACAATTCTCATCGACATACACAAGTCTTTAGGAAATTGATTTTTCCTTGGTAGTTAGTTTTCCTGAAACAGGAGGCTATTATATATGGTGTCGAGGCAGAAGGGGGAATCGTGCTTGCGAAGAAAATAAAATAGAATATTTTACGACGACTAAATCTATGAGAATTCTTTTCAAGAGTTCTCATCGATTTAGTACAAAGCTTTTCGAGAAAATGATCTTCCCTCGTAGTTTTCCCGACACAGGTAGCGAAGCCGACGCGGCGTCGAACCCGAATTCGGTATTATGGCTTGCATTGAAAGAAAATAGATTCTTTTTTACGAGACTAAATCTATGAGAACTGTTCTCGAGAGTCCACTGAACAATTCTCATCCATTTAGTAAACGGGTTTTCCGAACAATAATTTCATTTTCAGCTTTCCCGACGAAGGTGGCTACGCCGGTGTCCAAACAGAATGCGCTATCGCTTTTCCGTAGGAAATGAAATAAATTTTTTTGCGACAACTAAATCAATGAGAATTGTTCTTTAGAGGCCACTGAATAATTCTCACACATTTAGTAGTCAGTTTTTCGGGAAAATGAATTTCCCCTTTAGCTCCAACGACACGGGTGGCTAGTCCGGTGGCCGTGCGGAATCTCGGTTT